GGCGCACCGGCCGCGCCCGCTGCTTGTACACGGCCAGCACGCGCACAGCCAGCCGCTGCCACGCCGGGCCCGCCGCCTCCGACGCCAGCACCTGCGCGCGGAGAACTGCGGGGAGCGTTGCCGTCAGGCCCGGGCTGGGGGAGCCTCTGGCGTCACGCGGGGTCAGCACGGTGGGGAGGTGGGGGGCAAGACCCGGGGGTGGGCTCCCAGGATGCCCTTCAGGGAGGAGAGAGACCTTAAACGTTTGAGGGTGAGAGGTCTGGGGGTCTGGCCCTGTGTCGTGAATGCTGGAACCTGCTGGAGGAGACTTGGTCGAGGCAAGGAGGGCAGGGCTTATGGAGTGTGAGGTGGGGTGCCAGGATTGTGATCAGGAAGGGTGGGACGATGGAGGGCTCCTCCTGTGGAGGGGAGGCCAAACAGAGAGAGGAGCCTGGGAACATGGGACACGCCATGTGGGGACGCTTTGGTTGGGGTTTATACTGGGAGCATTAGATGCCAAAATGACCTAAAGTGTGGGGAGGGTTGACTAGGGGGACGCTACAGTGTGTGTGGCTGGGAACAAGGCAGAAGAGGCAGGTCTAGGGTCTTGAATGTGGCAGAGTCAAAAGATGTCAGAAGCAGAGCCCTTGGAAAAGGGTATTGCCCAGGGAGGGGCTCTGGGACGAATCTGGGGGCCAGAAGGAGGTCAGAACCTAGAACCTGAGGGTTGAGGTCATACTGGTGGTGATTCAGAAACATGTGCTCTCTGAAGGGGTGAGGTGAGACGTGTTGGGGGCAGGACTCTGGCTCACAAGCTAAGTCTATGGGGCAGAAGATCCCTGTGGGAGGCAGGACGAGAAGTTTCCATCTTCCGGGTCCTAGACCAGTGGCCAGATGATGATTCTCAGAGAAGAGAGGCCTGGGGTCTTATACCATTGAGGGAAGTCACAGGCTGGTCTGGATTCAAGGGCTGGGCTGCACTCCTGAGTATCTAAGAGATCTGAGTTACCTGAGGGCATAGGCCCTGAGGTCATGGGGCTGGTGTGGACTGGTGTGACCTGATGAATTAGGGGACTTTGGGGCCGAGCCTCTGGGGGAGTGGGGCTACGGTTCAGGATTTGGGACCCTGATGGGAGGCGGAAAGTGTCTAAGATAGGCAGGACCCTCCATTCAACCAGCATCCCTTTGTCCTTCCATCCCCAGGAGGTCCCCTTTCTCCCTCAAAGATGTGCGGCTGAAGGAGGCCAAGAACATGGGGAAAGAGGAGACATAGGAAGATAGGGAACACCCCCACTCCACTGCCCCTGCCCCCCTTTGTCTTCTGTCCCATTAGGTCCTAGATCAGGAAGGGTCCTTTAGAGTCCCCCTTCCCATTTAAGATGAGAGAGCTGAAGGTGGAGAAGGTCTGAGCGAGTCATCAGAACACCTGGGTAGCTGCCGGCCATTTTTCTCCCCGGCACTCACCGTAGTCCTGCTGGCAGTACGTCCGAAGGCTCATGTGTACCCTGGTGTCCGAGACATTGCAGTAGTTTTGACATTGAGGGTCTGGGGAGGGTTAGGTCGTCTGCAGTGGGTTCCGGAGGCCTGGACCGCAGCGTCCAACCCTGCCCATCCCCCCATTCCGTTATGATGGCCAACTGGGGTGCCCCACCCCTTGGGACTTGGCTCAGTGGGCCACCCCTGGATCCCCACCTGGGGGCCCAAGCAACCCATCCCTGATCTCTCTTGCTGTCAGCGTTCTCCACACCAGCCTGTCTTACCGGAGCTGTAAGCACCAGGGGTAGTAGCAAGGGGGGTTGTTGCCTCTGGAATTCCTGAGAGAGACCAAAGCAGAAATTTCACCTTAGTGCCCCCTCCCCTGCAGCCGCCACCCCAACAGGAATCCAGGCATCCAGACCCCATGTCTATTCCCTTATGGCCCAAGAGTGCGAGCGCCCTTTGCCCTCCTCCTCCCAGGACCTGGAGTTGGTCCCTAGTCCCTTCTTCCTTCAGATCCAGGAATGTAGACCCCCCCCCCCGCAGCCCCCTCCTCCCTCAGACTCAGGAGTCCAGGCTCCTAGCCTCCTCCTTCCCAAGACCAAGGAGACTGGAATTTGAGTCCCCACCTCCCCCAGAGGCCCAGAGTAGGACCTCCAGCCTCTAGCTCCCATCTCCCAGGGACCCGGCCGTCAGCATCCTTGCCCACTGGAGAGCTGGGATGTCCCCTTCCCATCCCACTTAGGACTTGCAGCCCCGCCCCTTGTCACTCACGCTGGCAGGGCATCCGGGGAGAGCGGCTCTGCTGGTAGCCGGGACCACAGCGGTTGCACGTGAGGCCGGTGACCCCTAACTTGCAGGGGCACTGCCCGCTGGTTTGGTTGCAGATGCCCCCCGTGGCCCCGATCGGGTGACACTGGCAGGCTACATGAGGAGAGGAGCTGGGGACCCGGGGTGTCAGGGCCCCAGAGGCTCCTTCCCAGTCCCGCCCCCGCCCGCCAGCCCCAGGCGTCGGGCCCTGCATCCTTTCCCTCTGGGCCAGGCTTCGGGCCGCACTCACCCCTGCAGGCCTTGCGGCTGGTGACGGGCTGGCTGGGGTCCCTCCAGAACCCCGGCTGGCAGTAGTGACAGTGTCGCCCGGCCGTGTGGTGACGGCACCGCTCACAGACACCCCCGCTCCGGCCGCCGGACAGCCGGAAGAGCTCCGAGTTGAACCTGCAGCGTCGGGCGTGCTGGTTGCAGGAGCAGGCTAGAGACAGGACGGGGCAGGCGCGTCAGACTCCCGCCTTCCCTTCCTGGTCCCCAGCTTGCCCCCCCCTGCCCCCCCAGAGGTCCCAGACCCTCCTCATTCTCATCTTTAAGGTGGGTGCACCGGACTGGAGTGGGCGAGCCTGAGGGGCCCGACGGACCTCCTGAACGTCTGTGTGAAACTGGGGGCTCGGGGAGGAGTGGCCACTCCGGGGGCAAGGGCTGTGGGGTCAGCCGCCCCCCCCCCGCGTGTCTGCTCCCCACTGTGCTCCTTGGGCAAGTGACTTCTTTCTGTAGCTCGGTCTCCTCCTCTGTAAGACGGCAGTCACAGTGTCCACTCCGTGAGGTTGAAGGGAAACCGAAAGGATATAAAGGGCTCGACCCAGGGCCTGTGACGCAGAGCAGGCATTCGGGGCTCAGCGTGCTTCCTTCTCAGAGCGGCTCCGTGAGGCTTGCATCTTACCGATGTGAAAACGGGGGCAGAGAGGCGATGTCATCTGCCCAAAGTAACGCAGCTCAGGGGCAGTCCCAGGCAGGCTCAGTACCCAGGGCTTCTGGCTTCAGAGTCCGTGCTCTTGGCAACCAGACTGCAGCAGGGCCCACGGCTGGCGTGAGGATTCTGGGCGGCTTACGTGCGCGCGTGTGTTCCTGCAGAGCGCTGATCGGTGAGGCTGCTGCGGCTTTCGAATCTTAACTACTTCTCAGTTACTGGGAAACGTTAAGAAGAAACCACACAGCTTCCAGGGCCCACCCCCAGGCCTTCAGCTGGGCCCAGGCATCTGTGTTTCTAGCCAGCGTTTCTGAGTGAGATGCCGCGGGAGGGGCTTCGTGGACCATTCTTGGGAGAGGTTTAAGGAGTTTCTGACTCCCGAGGGGTTCGGGAGGCCTGGGCTGACAGGTGCTGGGAACACAGAGGGGCAGCAGCGGGAAGGTCAGGACGCCGAGGCAGCTGTGTGTTCTTGGAAGAACGACTCGCCTCCCTAAACCTTGGTTTCCTCCTGTGCAGTGGGGAGCTCAGCCCCTCTCGCCCAGGGTTGTCGTGGGCCTTAAGAGGTAGCAGTACTCTTCAGGTTATTGGTGGGAAGAATCAGGCTTTGGATTCTTTCTGACCAGACCTTCCGTCTGGAAGACTCAGGTGGTGGGAAGGGGTTCAGAGCACCATGCCTATAAAGCCGGCAGCTCTGCCACAGGACTTGGTCCCACCCCATCCGAGACCCTGCTTTATCCCAACACTGTCGGCTTCTTACCCAGGTTCAGAGGCCAGTGCCATGCTCAGCCTGGGGCAACGTGGTGATCCTCAGAGGGACAACCTTCCCAGCTCCCAGGCCGTGCCCAGGCCCAGGATGAACCAAGTCCCACCCCCAGGCAATGTGAGTCTCCCCTCCTCCCAGCCCCCACCCCACAGGGGCCTCAGATCTGGCTGGTGGGAATGGGCCAGAGGTGGTGGGGACAGAGGGTCTAGGAAGACCCCGGTGGGGATGAGGACAGAGTGGGGAGCCAAGGATGGTGGGATGGGCTGTAAGTTACTCCGCGTGACAGGGCAGGAAGAAAGAGAGGAGGGAGGGGGTAAAGAATTGGAGGGTGGAGGGAGAGGAGGGGTGTGTGTGTGTGTTTGTGTGTGTGTGTGTCTATCTGTTGGTAGAGTAGAGCTACTTCCCAGGGCCTGGTACCACACTCAGAGCCTCTAGCCAGGCCTGCGGGCTGGCGTGGAAGAAGGAGGGCTGTCTCTGAGGAGGGGCTGCTGGAGCAATGGAGAAGGGCCCAGACTCTGGAAGCTCCAGGTCTGGAAACACGGTGGAGGGGAGAGGGTGTGGACTGGGCCTGGGGAGCACTGGTCTAAGCTCCATGGCCCCGTGGATCGCCCATTATCTAGGAAGGTCTGTCTCCCTCAGTCCAGTCCCAGCACTGCCCCTTACTGGCGTTGAGCCTTAAGGCAAGTGGTGCATCCCCTCGGGGGCCCCCCCCTTCTTCATCTGGGGAATGATAACATTGGTAGATGCGAAGCAAGCTCTTCTTCAGTGCCAGGTACCACACTAAGCTTTATTCTAAGCATGCATATCGACCCATTGGATGTTCACTACAGCCTGTGAAAGAAATGCTGTTACTGTCCCCACTTTACAGGCGAGGAGGTGGAGGCACAGAGAGGTCAAGTCACTTGCCTGTGGTCACACAGCTGGGAAGCAAAGGAGCTGGGATTTGAGCCCAGGGTGGCTGGCGGGCTTGCTGCCAAGCCTGTGTGCCTATCTGTCACCCTAGAGCACCTAGCGTGACAGCCCCTGACAGGAGCTTGGCAGGGACAAGCCAAGACCCCCTCCCACCCCCACCCCCCAGCTGGACTCCCTGAGCTCAGATTCGGACCTGCCACTCACTAGCTGTGTGTCCTTGTGCAAGGGACTTCTCACCTCTAGACTCAGTCTCCTCGTCTGTGAAACGGACCTGATGCTAAAACCCGCCTGGTACATAGCAGGTGATCGGTACATGTGTACTTAGTGAGTAAATACGTCCCCCGTGTGGAGGGTCTGTTGCGTCGGGAGGTCCTGCTGCCTTGCTCCCCACGCTCACGCAGGAAATGTTATTCGTACCAGCATCTGATGGCGTGTGGGGCAGAGCCTGGATGTGGGGGGCGGGCAGCAGGGACTGGGGCAGGCAGGTGGAGTGCAGGTGGGAGGCTGTGGGGGAGGGGAAGAGAGGGAACCAGCTCAGGAACAGTGGGGGTGAAGCGAGGAGCAAGGCGCCCTAGGGAGGGAGAGAGCACCCTGCCCGTGGGGACCAGGGACCATCTGCTGGAGGGTCGGCCGGGGGCCGGGCTGGGGGTGGGTGAGGGCAGGAAGAGGGGGACCCAGGACTCACGCAGGCAAGGGTGGGGGTGCCAGGGCGTGGCAGGCCGCCAGGGCCAGTCTCGATGGGACGGGCGGCAGCTCTCGCACCCGGGGCCGGTGGTGTGGTGGCGACAGCGACATTGGGGGGGCCGGGCGCGGGCGGCACAGCGGGCTGCGTGGCCGTGGCATTGGCAGCGGCCCCTCACTCCAGCCGCCGCCAGCCCCGCCCGGCCCCCGAACTCCATGCGGAGGTGACTGACCACCACGCTGGATTTAGGGCCCGGTGGGGCTCGGAAGGTCACCTTCTCGGGGCCCCCCAAGGCCCCAGGCCAGGCGGGTCTGCGCCACAGCGATCTCCAGGGACCTCCGGTGGCCCAGGCGGCAGACAGGACCAGGGCTGGGGATCCTGGGGTGCAGAAGCGCAGGCTGATGGACGTCAGGAGGAAGGGGCCACCCAGGGCCAGGGTTAGACTGCCATTGCAGGCGGCCCGGGGGCTGAGGTCCGCCCCCAGGGAGAGGGCACAGGCCTGGGGACAGGAGGCCGCCATGCCAGCCAGCCGGGTCACTGGTGGGAGGCAGAAGCGGGGGCGGCCACCTGGATGGTAACATGGGTCTGCGGTGGTGGCCTGGCTCAGGAGGAGCAAGAGGGCAAAGGTCACAGGCATGGTCCTAGCAGAGCAAGTACCTGGAGAGGAGAGGAGTGATCGGGCTGAGGGCCTCGGGCTGCCCTCATGGGTCAGCCACCACCCTGGTCCCCGCCCCCAGGCTCTCTGAGGAACCCCTGGCATTCCACCCCCAGCCCTGCCCAAGCCCCCTCCCCGGCTGCTTCTAAGCGAGGAAAATAGTTCCATCTGGGGAGAATTACTGTTTACATAACCCAAAGGGAAAAGAACGCAAGCAAAATTGAGAATTTTGCCTGAACTAATCCGAAGCTTAACACCCCAGAGCTCTCGTCAGTGTCGAGGGGTGGGGGCCCTGGGGAGAGGGCAAGGGGTGGGGACAGATGGAGAAACCTAGACAGACCACAGCGGGGAGGGGGACTTAGAGACAGATGAAGAAGAGCAGAGACAAAGAAATAGAGAAAGGGACAGAGGCATGGACAGCAGAGACAGACGGAGAGGAGGGGACCCAAGTCGAAGGGAAGGGCCAGGTGCAGAGAAGGAACCATGAGGAGAGAGGACCGAAAATAAGGGGAGGCTAGAAGGCCCAGACAGATAGCGGCTGGACACCCAGATCCACAGGGAGTTGGGGCGGGGGGGCGGGAATGGAGTCCCAGGGACCCTGGGGCCAGGACAGACAGACAGGCAGATGAGACAGACCTGGGGGCTCAGAGACACCCCCAGGGAGCAAGAGGAGAACAGAGAGCCTTGCTAGCCTGGTCGGTGGGGAGGCGGGGAGGGGAAGCGGGGGAGGGGCTTGCGGAGCATCAGAAGCGGGAGGCCAGGCCCCTGGCCCACGAGGATCAGAGCAGAGGCCCTTTCCCACGTGGGGCCCTAACCTTGTTCTCCACACCCAGGGCACGGAGGGGGATTATCGCCAAACAACCCAGCAGCCTCCTCCGCTGCCACCCACCCCCAGCCTCCACCCAGCCTTAACCCTTTCCCACCCGGGTGCAAAGCCCAGAGAACTGTGCTAAGGAACCGGAGGGGGTCATGCGGGGACTAGAAGCCTGGGTCACTCTGGAGCTGGAGAGGGGGGTTAGGAAAGCAGATGCCTGAGTCCCCCTTAGAATTCAGGGTGGGAGGACCCTGTCCTTAAGTTTCGGAGGACTTTCTGATAATCTCAGCCCTCCCCACTCCCGCCTGCCATCCTAGGCCTCAGGGTCAGGAGAGCGGAACCCCCGCATTCTCTACCCACCCTAAGGTCCCCAGATTAGAAAGGGGAACAGATGTGGGGGGTGGCAGGTGCCGGCGAGGGTGGGGGCAGAAAAGAGAGGCAGGGCAGGGCAGGGCCAGATGCCAGGGTGTCCGAGGGGGGCCTGAAGTCCAGACCCCGGGATGGCAGGGGCTAGGAAGGACTTACTGCTGAAAGTCCTCCTCCCCCCATCTTCCCCTTCCAGGGCTGGCAGCCCCTACTGAGGAACTTCCTCAGGTTTGGGGGCCTTGGAGCCTTTTCTGGGCCCCACTGTCCACGCCCCTGGCTTGCTCCCGGCTGGGAGTCTGTGGGGCATCTGGGGGTGCAGCTGGGGTCACAAACGCCCCCAGCCTGATTTCACAGCCCTCAGTGTCCCCGCTGCGGTTGCCGCGTGCAGAGACAACCTCCCTGGGCCCCGGATTTTGGGCATCACCCTCCGCCCCGCCCAATGAGCCTGGCGCCATTTTGTGCACTTGCGGCCCCGGGCATTTGCCCTGTCCCTTAGCGCCAGCCTCGTTAAGGACCGAGCCCCCATCTCCTACCTCTCCTTTCTTGCCTGGGTGGTTCACGGGGTACCATTTTCTGGCCCTTAGCACCTTGGACAGCCAGGCCGCGAGTCCCCCGGTGTTCCTGGAGGATCCAGAAGCCGGCCCCTGCCCATCTGGGAACCCAGATGTCCAGCCCTTAGCCCCTACCCCTCTGGGAGCCAGAGCCCACTCCCACCCCCCTTTAAGGAGCAGAGTCTAGCTGTGCTCCCACCAGACCCATCGTTAGGCCCCCACGCCTGGGCCGTGAGGGGGTCCATCTGGGACCCAGGCTCCTCTTCCCTGGCTTTTTTGCACGCACCCCACCCTTTGCCCCTAATGTTGGCCAAACCTGCACCCAAGAAGAGCGTGTGCCCTGCAGTTAGCTTCTCACGTGTTCTTCCCTCCCGCAGGAGCTTGGCGGCGGCGTGGGCTCTCAGGAGTGAGCGCTGAGTGGCTGTTGTCAGGCCTCAGGCTAGTGGGGGTTCTGGGCGGGAGCTCAGAGCAGAGCCCGCAGAATCCAACACCACCACCGCCCCAGTCCCCTCGCCAACCACAGCCACGCTCTCCCCGCAGGGACCCCAGCCAGCCGTGCCACCCAGGACTGTGTGGGACGTGAGGGATGTCGCCCCAGGGGGGCCTGGAACTGGGCAGCCCCGAGCATGCTGGCCGAGGAGGCTCAAGGCAGGTAGGATGGGACAGCGGCCCCACGGGCTTCCCGGGTCTGGGGTCCCCACTGCACTGACACTCAGACCCCTGCCCCACCGACTCCCCACAGCAGGCAGGCAGGCGGTAGGCCGGCCGGGCTCAGCCCACCACGTGGTGGTGCGGTCCATCGGGAAGGGAAGGGGCTGACCTGCCAGGCGGCGGGACCCCCTCCCTTCTGGACCCTTCTGTCAGCTGTGGGTAAACTGAGCATTAAGGTGAGTCACTTGCCTTTTGGAAGGATCTGGGCGGCCACCGGGAACCCCAAAGAATCGGGCGGCTTTCTAAGACGGTGGGGAAGGAAGTGAGGAGGCTGAATCCCTGGGCCTCCCTCGTCCCACGTTGGAGGGAGAGAGCAGGGACCCCGAGGGAGACAGGGACAGAGCTCAAAGCCAACGTCCCCGTGGCCAGTTTCCTGCGAGGCCTCAACACTTCAGTGACGAAGTTTTCATGCCAATGTGGCTGTCAACCATTACGGACCCACTGATTCTGACTAGAAAAATAACGCTTTCCACCCCCTCCCACTGAGGAGAGCAAGGGTCTCGGGAGCCTAGGGCTTTGCATGTGCTTATTGAGGCGCTGCGTGGACCTGACCCTGACGGGGATTTGGGGGCCCCCCTGCTGGCGGGAGCCTGTCCTGGGGGTCGGGAGGGCACAGCCAGGACAGTCTGTGATTCTGGTTCCGGGGGACCCCCCTGCACCACTGTGGAGGGCCGAGCCTGGGCAGGAGTCGGGACAGGGACATCGCGTTTCAAATTAGGCTGTGGGGAGGAGTTGGCTGCAAGAGAAAGGGGTTGGGGGCGGAGACACCCCCAAATCTGAGGAGGCATACCGGTTCCGGGGACAGGCGGTGTAAGCAACAGGGTAAACTTGTCCATGACACACACACACACACACACACCCCTTGTCAGGTTTACAATCTAGAGAGAGCGCTACAGAAAAGTAATAAGTAATTCTGTTTGAGAGAAGAGCCAGAAGGCGACAGGCCCTTCAGAGCAAAAGCAAGCAGGGAAGTGGGGGCAGGGGCGGGGGTCTGGAGGGGACATTTGGTCTGAGACCTGAAAGTGGTGAGGGCAAGCCACCCGGGCATCATCAAGGCAGGAGTGACCAGGGCAGAGGGAATGGCCAGAGAAAATTTTAGAAGGCTTAGGTCTTGCTTTATTTTCCTCCTGTCCCCAGGACAAGAAGTTTCTTAAGCTAATGTTGACCTGGAGGGAAGCTTTCTTCCTCATTTGTTTTTCACAGCCTGAGCTGCTTGAGGCGATTAGCACCCCTGAAGGTGCCTTGGGGGGTGGTGTTGGGGGAAGGGCAGAAGCCGCCGGAGCTGAGAGGAAAGAATTCTCCAAATTGGGAAGGAGACTTTTTTTTTTTTTTTTTTGGAGGAGTTCCTCAACTATTGGGCACTTTCACCCTCACAGTGCCCCAGAGGGGAGGCAGGACCTCCCTGGGGCACAGCTCTGTGGTGGCTCAGCAGGGTGGGACCCACAGCTCTGGGCTTCCAGAGATCTTTCATCCCTACCTCGGTGGCCCAGAAATAACAGAGGCCCCACGAGTCAGGGCAAGTCGTACTCCCCGTATAACTGGACGGAGATTGTGCATCTGAGTGCTCTCCCTGAGGAAGCCTCGAAAAATCCAGGACAGCAATGGAGGGCACAGATTGCTGAGCCACAGTGCCCGGGGTTCAAATCCACGCGCCCCTCTTTCCTAGCTGTGTGACCTAAGGCAGATTTCTTAACCTCTCTGGGCCTTAGCAGGCTCATCTGTTAAATAAGCCTAACAATGCGCCTTCCTCACAGGAGAGCATGAGGTCTAAATGAGCGAAGACAGGCCCACAGTCTCATTCCTGAACCTCTTTGGACCAGATGTGGTTCAGAATGTGTGCGTCGGCCCCGTGGCGGGGTGCGGGGTCTGGGCAGCATCCCATAATCGAACGGTATCGTTTCTGCAGCAGAACACACGGGCATCACATTAAGTCAGGTCTCCAAGTAGCCGCAGGTCACGTCAGGCCACATTTTGTCCCCAAAAGAGTTCAGTTCAGCTGGGGGTTGGCCACCACTCTGTAGGAAGGTGGCCGGCAAGGAATCGCGGATGGGGCGAGTCAGTGCTGGGGCAGTGCCACAGCCGTGATGCGCTGTGTTTCTGAGACTTTGGTGACAGAAAGCCAGGAGAGGGAGCTCTTGAGACTCAAGGACAGCGGGTGGCAGAGGACGGGCTGCCGGATTCGCAGAGCCCGAGATGAAAACATGGGGTGTCTTATTCTGATGTATTGATAATTTCTAGCTGGTGAGAGCAGAGCATTAAGCCAAGTGCAGCCCCCCCCTTATTTTTTAAAAGTAAACTCTGTCCCCAACATGCGGCTCAAACTCACAACCCCGACATCAAGAGCCGCCTGCTCTACTGACTGAGCCAGCTGAGTAAAGCGTAGGTCCTTGTGAGTACAGGCCGTGGGCAACCGCACAGGTCACACACCATGGGGGTGGCCCTGGGCGGTGGGTAGCTTTGTCCCGAGCGGCTGCTGCTTCCCCAGTAGCCCAGGCTCCAGTACCTGCTCAGCTCACCTGCTCTGGCTTTGGGACCTGGCCGGCCCCAGGCAGGACCAGAGCTGAGCCGGCAGCGTGATAAGGATTGGGACAGAGCTGTCACCAGCCCAGGGAGAAGAGGGGCTCATTCTTTGGCAACTAAAGCGGCGGGCAGGGCATTTCTTGGACCCCCCAGTGGAGGGAGGGTAATGTCCTACCTAGCCCTCCTGTGGAAGAGCCAGTCGACCTCGCCGGGGACCCACATTGAACAAGACATTTGAGGAGGGCCCAGGAGTGTTCAGATTTCCCAAAGGGTCAGATTACTAAAGGGAGGAGCCCTGGAATATTGGAGGAGGAGGCGAGCTGAGGCAAGGCCCACAGAACCCTGCCATTTAAGGGGGCTGGCAGAAGGAGAGATGGGGCGCCTGGATGGGGGGCAGGACAGAAGGCAGAGCGTGAGGAGTGGGCGTCCTGCCACCCAGCGCTTCCTTCTGCCCACGAGACTCCTGAGCTGCAGCCTCAGGGAAACCGCAGGTAGAGGGAGAGCAGAAAGTGGGTCAGGACACACTGGACGCCCCTAGCCTTGCTTGGAGGAGTTGAGTGCGGGAACGAATGATTTCGGGGTGAACAAGACTCAGGTGCCCCTAGCTGTCACTCCTGACTGTGTCCTCTCTCCTCCCCCCAGCCATCATGGGATTCCAGGCCACTTGCCCTTCCTTCTCCACCATCTACTTCCTCTTCATCCTCTTGGTGGTGTCCACCGTCTTCCACTCCCATCACCGCCTGGCCCTGGTGCCCACCCCCTGGGCCTACCCAGGCCGCGTGGTCCTGCTCCCCAGTCACCTGCCGCCGGGGGGCATGTTCACCATCAACGCCAAAGGCCGCCTGGGGAACCAGATGGGGGAGTACGCCACCCTGTACGCCCTGGCCAAGATGAACGGGCGGCCGGCCTTCATCCCGGCCGAGATGCACAGCACGCTGGCCCCCATCTTCCGAATCAGCCTCCCGGTCCTGCACGGCGCCACGGCCAGCAGGATCCCGTGGCGGAACTACCACCTGAACGACTGGATGGAGGAGCGCTACGGCCACATCCCGGGGGAGTACGTGCGCCTCACCGGCTACCCCTGCTCCTGGACCTTCTACCACCACCTGCGAGACGAGATCCTGCGGGAGTTCACCTTGCACGACCACGTGCGGGAGGACGCCCAGAAGTTTCTGCGGGGCCTGCAGGCCAAGTGGGCCCGGCGGTCGACCTTCGTGGGGGTCCACGTGCGCCGGGGGGACTACGTGCGCGTCATGCCGCGGGTGTGGAAGGGCGTGGTCGCCGGCCGGGGCTACCTAGAGCAGGCCCTGGACTGGTTCCGGGCCCGCTACCGCTCCCCAGTCTTCGTGATCACCAGCGACAACATGGCCTGGTGTCGGGAGAACATCAACGCCTCCCGGGGGGACGTGGTGTTCGCCGGCAATGGCCTTCGGGGCTCCCCCACCAGGGACTTTGCGCTGCTCACGCAGTGTAACCACACCATCATGACCATTGGGACGTTCGGGATCTGGGCCGCCTACCTGGCGGGCGGGGACACCGTCTACCTGGCCAATTTCACCCTGCCCGGCTCCCCCTTCCACTGGATCTTCAAGCCCCAAGCGGCCTTCCTGCCGGAGTGGGTGGGCATCGCCGCTGACCTTGGGCAGGCCAGAGAGACTGGCTCCTAGCCCGGTGTGTCGCGTGTCCCTCCCTCGCCCTGGGGCCAACAGGCTTTGCCCCAGAGCTGCAGCACCTGTGTTTGCCTCCAGGCCGCGATGCTTCCCAGCTGGGCCACCTCGGACAAGTGACTTAACCTCTCTGGGCCTTAGCGTGCCGCCTGCAAAGTGGACCTAATACAGAACTTACCTCCGCAGCTCCTGCAGCAAGTTTATTTAGTGTCTTGGGAACCCTAACCCGAACCCGAACAGGCACGTGGGTGGCGTATCCTGAACTTTCGGGCTGCTTTAAGATGGAAACATATATTTTGCTCTCTCTTTGTCTGTAGCTTCAGGAGCGTGAGTCCAAGTGTTTTGCCCTTGCCTCCTGGGAGGGTTCGGTGAAGCCGTTCCTGCCCTCAAGTCAAGGAGAGCCAAATGTTAGGCTTTGGGTTTCATGGGGCCTCATCATGAAAGGGAGGGAACCCGGGATTTGAGAGGATGAATCTTGGGGAGGTACCCTCAGTGGGGAGGCGAGGTGCCTGGAAATGGGGGTGGGCATGGGGTGGGGGCAGGACTCAGGCAGGACTCCACACCAATCGGCCGGCAGCAGCAAAATGCCCAGAGTCCAACGTCCTAGAAGTGGCGGGCGGACCTCAGGGGGCTCCAGGAAACACGGCCATGTCAGCAGCCACCTGCAGACGGATGGCCTCACCCTTTGGCACTGCCTATGCCCCCCAGGACCCAGAGCCACTCTGAGAAACCCCCGTGTGGACAAGAGTTGACTAGGGGATCATAATATGGGTTTTCCTGTGTTCAGTGCATTTGGAACTATGGAGATACCAGTATTTTTATCGGTGTAATACTCCTTTTTGGATATTAAAAAAAAACTTTTTTTGTTTTTAAAGATTTTATTTATTTATTTGTCAGAGTGAGAGAGCACAAGCAGGGGGAGGGCGAGGGAGAAGCAGGCTCCCCGCTGAGCAAGGAGCCTGACTCAGGGCTCGATCCCAGGACCCCGGGATCATGACCTGAGCCAAAGGCAGATGCTTACCCAACTGAGCTACCCAGGCGTTCCCCCGCCCCCCAAAAAAGTCTTAACATACAGTCATTTATGTTCATTGAAAATTGTCACTGAGCATAAGCAAGCACACTGGTTTAGAGAACATTTCCATCCCATCCCTTTCCTGTTTTACGCTCTAAGTGTCTTACTTATCTGAATGCCCATTTCTGGGCATGCTTCTGAGGTTGAGCACCTTTGTTTCCACTTATCAATAATATTGTATCTCCCCAGAGCCATTTTGACCCCAATTTACTTCCTGAAGTCCCAATAGAATCAGCAAGGTCTGGGCCTGAGGGTAGGGGGGATGCTGGAGAAAGCACCAGAAGGGTCTGGAAGGAAGGGGAGGGGAAGCAGGAGGGAGGTTCTGTGTGAGCTATCCCCAGATTACTCCAAAATTTAGTACAGTCATATATTAGCTCGTATAGTTTGTGTGGGTCAGGGATTTGGGCAGGGTTTAGCTGGATGGTTCTGCTTGCCTTGTCCGGTGAGGTTGCTGTCAGATGGTGTCCTGGTCCCTCTGAAGGCTCTCCTGGGGCTGGGGTAGGGTGGGGGTTGGGAGGCTAGTTCCCGGGCCCCCTTCGGGAAGAAATTTGTCTCCCCCAACTTCCTCCTCCTGTTAGGACACCAGTCATCAAAGATTGGCCCCCACTTAACGCCCTCATTTTAATATAATTGCATCCCTAAAGATCCTATCTCCAAATAAGGTCACATTCTGGGGTGCTGGGGGTTAGGACCTCCACATAGGCATTTTTGTGGGGACACAAGCGACTCCCAGCCCTCTGCCCTAGAATCAGGCTGGCTTAACTTCCCTTCTGTTTTTCCTCCCTCCTCTCAATGCCAAGTCTCTCCTCCACAGGATAATTTACCAAGTCAACATCTTTTCCTAATTGTCCCTGTTCCAGGAACCTGAGCCGTGACCTCTGACCCTCTACCAATTTTGCAACAATATCAAAGTACAGAAGGGAATGGCTACTGGATCTCACATTTCAATAAAATACTCCCGTGCCCCCCTCCCCACGGCAGCTCCAAATCTCCCCTCCCACCTTCTTGGCCTTGCTCTGGCCGATGGCATCCGCTGTGGACCGAGTGTTCGTGTCCCTCCAAAATTCATGTGTTGGGCCTTCAACTCCCCAGTGTGCTGGCATCTGGAGGTGGGACCTTCGGGAAGTGATTAGGTCGTGGGCGGGACGTGGGCCAAGGAAGATTGAGAAGACCCATCCTCCCAGCCACTCTCCTGGGGCGGTCCCCACCAGGAAGGGGCCCTGCAGGTGCAAAGAGCGGGTGCTGCTCTCTTCCTGGAGCTGGGTGGAGTAGCTCACTAAAACCATATTGCGTTCTGTTTAATCTCAAGGCAAAGGGGACCCAGCTCTGCTCCTGGTGTTTGAAGGGCCTTGTTTGGAAGAGGAAGTGGTCATGAAGGCTGAAGCAGAAATTGGCCAGCTGTCAACCATAAATCTCACCAAATCAGTCACAAATATTTACTGAGCTCTGCCCTGAACTCCCCGCAGGGGACAGAAGGAAGCCTGGGACGGGAGCCACGTAGCCGTGTATTCCAGACAATGATGGAGCCCCCCGTACGTGTCTGTTACAGGCCGAGTTGTGTCCGCCAGAAAGATAGGTGGAAAGCCTAACGCCCAGGACCTCAGCATGTGCCCTTATTTGGACATAGCGTCTTTGCAGGTCAATTAGTTAAGATGAGGTCCTGGTGGGGTAGGGTGGGCCCCGCCTCCCACGTGGCCGGTGACACAGACCCTCGAGGGGCCGGTGCCCTGGGATGACAGGGACAGAGACGACGGGCTTCCAGCCTCCAAACTGGGAAGGAATAATTTTCTATGGTTTTAAGGCTCGCAGTTGTGTCCTTGTTACAGAAGCCCTAAAGAACTGATAGAGTTTCACGCCTACCTATTAAACGGCTTGGACAAGCATTGAGCCCCTGCCAAGCTTCTCACTCAGCACACCAGCAGATTAAAAAAACAGGCTGCTGTGTTCCTGGTTGGATAGGGAACCCAGGGCCAGCAAGGGGAAGGCACTGGGTGTGAGTCAAGCAGGGTGTGACCTGGTTGGAACTGGGAGGCCATGGAAGCTATCATAGAGGTGTGCCCCACGGGTGATCCAGCAGCCCCATCCCCGCTCATGGTTTGTAAGTCCCCCGAAACCCTCAGAGGCCAGAGAGCTCTTTCCAGAAGAAACGCAGGCTCGTCAACCGGATGGATGCCTCTACCCAAATTGAGCCAACCCAGCCGGGGGTCTGGGCGCCTTGGGTCACAACCAGGCATTGAGCCCAACCAGAAATAGACTCCTGGGTGGTACCATCCCTTCTGGCGGCCGTGGACTTGAACACAAGGAGCCAGGGAGATGGGGTTTGCTGCATAAAGTTCATTTCTCAGCTGCTGATGCCTCCGCTCCCTAAGCCCAACGCGGAACACGCTTCGTTCGCACAGTGGCTCAGAGAGGACCCATAGCTCTGTGGCTAAGTGCACATGCTGGGCACAGACTGAGGCTGCCAGGCTCCCACCCTCACTCGCTGTGTGACCCTGGGCAAGTGACTTCCCCTCTCTGAGGATTAAAACAGGACCCGGACCTGGCTAAAGAACCACATACTGGGGGCGCGTGGGTGGCTCAGTCGTTAGGCGTCTGCCTTCGGCTCAGGTCATGATCCCAGGGTCCTGCGATCGAGCCCCACATCGGGCTCCCTGCTCAGC